GCTTCAGAAAATAAATCAGTACATATATTTCATTATTAATACATCTTTAACCAAGCAGAAAAATTTTGTTTTTTAATTATTTGTACCTACTTGGATACTTCCTCCTTCTCCCCCAAAAAATTGCAACAAAAAGATCTAAAAATGTTGCATATTATGAATAAAAATATCACCATTTAAAAAATTAAAACAGGCTGGCACTTTTATATTTATGAAAGGAATGATTTGCATATTCATATTTAATACATGAAGTATAAAATAGTACAAATGTTAGGCAAGAAAAGATTTGAACATTGCTAATGGTATAATAGCAGCTTACTGTATTTACTTGCATATTCCACATTCTCTTCTTTGACAATTTTATTACTTAAAAATTTTGAAGGGTAAAATAATATGATGTATACCATTTTTAGAGGCGAGATTAAAAGAAAAATTTTAACAAATTAAAGAGTGCATATAAAGATATTACTGTAATACATATTCTAAAGCAGCCAGTCTTAAGTTACAATCTGTAGTACCATTCTTTTTACTTCCCTGTTGTATTACCACAAAAAGAAAGTAAAGTATCCAATTTAACAAAGGATGCTGCCACCATGATGAAGTTTACCCAATTCAAGTAAAATGTATAGAAACCTTTGTGTAGATGCTCAAATTTTTCACGCTGAGGCTGTACTGTGTAATGTTAAGGCCCAAGACAAAAAATTACAAAATTTTATGTTAAGGTCAGGGAAAGCTATAGAAATTGAAGAAATATGCAAGTAAATATGGTATTATTATTCAGTACATATTTATATTTAAAACCACAATGAAAAAATTAATAAAATGTATTCTAGAAAAATATTTTCTAAAAAAATTAATGCTATATTACACATTCAATGATAAATGCTATGTACTTTGAAATTTCAAATCAGTCAAATTGCTGGCAGAGCAGTTTTAATTAAATATCACAAAGCCCAAAATAACTTCTTGAGCTTGCATTTCATATTCCCTTTTACAGGAAAAAAAAAAAAAAATGAATCTATATATTCATGTTTCAAATGTAGTATGAAAAAATTAAATTTCAGTTGCTGAGAAGACAAAAAATTAAGGCAAATATCATTTAATATGATCAGTATTATTTAGCAAGAATAAATATTTCCAAAAAAATCACCTATGCACTTTAAAAGTAAAGCCTTCAGGTTAATGAGAAGTAACCTATAATTAGATACGGAGAATAGACGATGAGTTTAATAAGGGAAAAGTCACATATAGCAATCATTAAAAGATTAAACTTTTGATGATACTATGGATTCTTCTAACACTTTTATACATAAATAATAAATATTAAATGCATACCACTTAAAATGCAAGATTATATTAATTTAGAAGTCAAACAACAAAATTCAGCATTATATTTTCAAATTTTCACACGACTAGTTTCGATGGTTTTACCGAACCATCATCCTCAGCTGCAAAAGCACATATCTTATCTCGTTCATTTGTGCATATCTTATCTCAATCATCTGCACTTTTGTAGCTGAGGATGATGGTTCAGTACCATCGAAACTAGTCCTGTGAAAATTTGAAAATATAACGTTGATTTTTGTTGTTTGACTTCTAAATTAAGATTTGTTTGGCATGTTATTGTATCTTAATGCAAGATTATGTTAATTTCTGTGAAGTAATATGAATGAAAATTACTATTTATACTTCAAAACTATTATAAGTAAGGCAGTAAATTTACAATGGTGCAAATTTTCTTAAATTTTAGAGGATTTGCTAAGATTTTGTTAATACCAGATTTTTCTATAAATAAATAAATTATTGAAATAATTGATAACTGTTAAATAAACTATGAATTGTTGTAAACAAATAATAATTAATACAAATAAATAAGTTAGGATTTCTTTCTCTCTTTCTTTTTTTTTTTTTAACTTTGCATTATAGAAGTTAGACGATTTTTATATGTCAATAACTTTTGTGCTATCATTAAAATAGCTGGGGGGGGGAAGCACAGGAATCCTATTCTAAAATTTAAATTAGAAGACTGAATTATGTAAACTTAATGGATGTCTGCAATAAGAAAAAATTTCATTTTCCAAAGACATAATAACATTATTCTCCATTGCCTCTATAAACTTTTTAATACACTATAATTATTCTCCATAGTCTCTAATTTTTTTTTATTTTAACAAAAATTTTTAATGATGGTATTTTCTAAACCATGTGATATTTAAAGGAGAAAATCTGCATATGCATAAATATAATGTGTAAAACCACTCTTCGATTAAACAACAGTCTTGATCAAAAATAGCAGAATTGCATACATTTTCAGAATTTCGATCAATAAATCTGAACTTCAATTAAAAAATGTATTGTTCAATTTTTATTTAATTAAATACTATGCATTTATATAACTGGGTTATTTTTGGTATACTTTTCCCTCCCAAAACATTAACATAATTTCTCGACTGTAAACTGTTTTTTGATATTATAAGCCACGGAAGTTTGATGAATTTTAATTACTTGTCAAAAAAGTTTTGGTTTTTTTTTCCAGCATTATAATTACTATCCTAATTATACAACAAAATATTAAGATTTCCCATTTTATCTGTTTAAGAAGCAAACAGAGTTTAAATATGGAAAAGGGCTACATATTTATGTTCAATAGAAAGGACAACCAGAGTTAAGATTTACAAATGGTGAAATTATTAAGAAAGAATCCATATACTAAGAACAGAAGCATTAATTATTTTTTATTATATTACACTATACATACATCTATATTTCTGTCTTCATTCAGGGTAGTATACATAAAGGTTGGATAAAAAGTAGTGTCAACATGCTGACTTTGTTACCATAGATATAAACATTTACAATCTTTTAATATAAGCACCTGCTATGTCTACTTCTTTTTTTAAGTTACTGGATATCATCAGCACATTCACTTCTGGGCTGTCCAGACAGTATGGTGGTTACAGAAGCCTATTGCAGTACCGAAGGGTACAGGTTTGAATCCCGGAGAAGAAATGGATATCTGTAAATGTATAGCATCTTTGTAGCATGGAGGCACTCTAAATAAATGGCAAGTCGAAAGTCCTCTCAAAAGGTTGGTGGTAGGGGGGGCCCTGGACCCATTACCTCAGTGTGCTCTCCATCAAAATTGGGGATGGAACCAAGCGAAGTCGTACTGTCACCTGTTATGGTGCCAAAGGCTGTTGTTGCCAATGACAGCCACAATCTTGCTCTCTTTGCCACAATGAATTTTGTGGATTTGTTCTGATGTTACTGTCAGACGAGTGAGAAAAGTCACAACAACACATCTATTTTTGTTGAAGTCCTGCAGGGGACTGCCACAAAGCACAGATAACTCCTATATACTGTTATATCAGGTGTCTTGCTGTAATTTTCCTATTTTGGCAAAGAGATCATAGTCACATGGATTCATATCAAATGTATATTTCAGTATGCCAGTACCTCTCATCAATGTCACAGGAAGTCCATGACTGCTTTCACATTATGATACTGTATACTGTTTTGGAAGAGGATGCAATTTATCACCTGACACAACATCTGCATCCAGCACTCAGGAGAAAGCAATTGCATCGTTGATGGTTACAGTCATTCTCCATAACAATGCAGAGTGTCACACTGTGAGTGCTATCACATATGTCCTGTCGGTGGAAGTGAGAGGTACTGGAACACCACACCAACAAATACAGTCACTTTCCCATGAATGCTGGATGCAGATGATCTTACCATCTTCCATAAAAAATGCAGAGTACAATAATGCAAGCTCTGTCATTGATCTTCTGTGACAGTGGTGGAGGGAGATACTGAAACCTCCACCAAGCCAATCTATTTGTAAACAAAAGAACCACCGTGAAAGATCTATTATAAAAGTAAAGGAGGTTATTCATGCTTTAGAGCAGTTGCTGAGGAACATCATTTAGGTTCCTCAGTGACTGCTGAGAATTCAAAATATCCACTTTTTAAAGTCTTCCAGTAATTTGGCAGAAATTATATGTTATTTTAACTGTTTGTATCTATGATAACAAATTCTTATCGGAACTACTGGTATGATGCCACTACTTTTTATCAACCTTGCATAAATGAGGTGCTAAAGTCTCCACACATAGTATAATGCTATGTGTTATTATCTGTTGCATAATTAGCTTGTTTTAAGCTAATGACATAACAAAACTTCTGAATTACAGTATTTTTAATTGACCTTTCCTGCTGCAGATAAGCTCTATCTCATTCAATAATTTATCACACCACGTATGAGGCCTATTTTTGATGTCTTCGCATATATGGTTTAGTTTTGAAAGCAAAATGTTACTCTTTTCCACTTTTTTTAAACAGTTATTTTAAACCCGTATTATGATGGTAAATTCTAGCCATTCTTTTCTACAACAGATAACAACTTGGAAAAAATTAAATATGCATAACAAAGTCATAAAACAATTTAACAGTGAATAATATAATACTGTTGGTAAACTAAAAAGCTAATCCCCAAGAATATCATGAAATTTCTATATTTCACTAATAAAATATATTTTAATCCAAAATAAAATTCTCAATTTTTAGTTTATTTCTAAAAATTCTTTTCCCATTTAAAAATTAAGCTTCTTTATGTATTTATTTCCTGGGCTGGGCAAGGTCGACTCAGCCTTTCAGCCCTTAATTTCCATCACTTGGGTTGATAAAATGAGTACCAAGTTTGCTTGCGGACTAAACACTGGGGGTCCTGCAGCAAGCTGACCACTTGTTCAGGGCATATGCTTATGCACCCCAGGGCCCATGGACAAGAAAGCAGATTTCGGGCACTGCAGGCCTTGGCCCATTAGGGCTGTTATGTCACTGAGTTTAGTTTTAGTTTTTATGCATTTATACATACATATATATATATATATATTGATTGATTTGTTTATTTTAACCAATATTTTATGAAACTTAAATAATTTAAAATCGAGAATAATTAATTATTAATAAAGTAATTAAATATATTTACTTAACTCTTTCATAAATCATACCTTTCACAAATATTCAAAATTTGATCTTATGAATGTACTTCTTTACAAATGTTATTACACTGAAAAAAAAATCAAAATAATTTAAATTTCTTCACAAAATTAATTTTTTATAAATATATATTCTGAAAACAGACAGTAAACAACAATAAATATAAGTGTTTTAAAAATAAAATGGCCACTTGTGAATATGCCCCCTTACTCACAATTACATTATTTTCAATAATGTATAATACACACAGAAATTTTCCAACAAAATACTGAATGATAAAAAATACACAAATCTAGATGTACTGTTTTTTTAAATGCAAGTGTCAAATAAAAAAAAAAAATACACACATAAACAATGAGACAAATTACAATCTACTGAATGTTCTTGCAATTAATATTTTTTTTAAATGTAGCTCCTGTATATCTTTTTTAACTTATGAAAGAAAACAAATCAAAATAAAAATGATATAAAGCAACATTTTTTGACAGTTACCATTACATATTATTTTGCGAACCATATGGAACCCGAAATGATAGGTTAAGTATGTTAATTTTAAAAGGCAACATATTTAATCTTTTATTAATGCTAACAGTCTTGTATTTGTACCAATGTGTGTTTTTTTTTAAATAGAGATTAACATATTATTTTGAAATTTAAGCTTCAGGAAAAAATCAGTGTCTGAACTTTTTCGAATTAAGTACAAATCATCAAAATTTTACAGGATAATATTATGTACGTACAAATAGTTCTATGTATATATTGAAAATTACTGTTGTGGTCATAAAATAACTCATGTTTTGTTCCATTTCAATAAAATAGAAATAATTTCAATATTAAGCAATGACATATTTCATCCAGTATTAAATTTTCAATATTTTTAAAAATGCAAAGGAATTCATAGATATACAAGTGATGCTAAATTCATGTCTGTTGCAGATATCATTGGCACAAAAATGAACTTCCTCACATTCAGTTTCATAAAAAATTTCTATCTGACTGGCTGAGCTTCAATTATGTAACTTTACTAAAATACAGACCTTATCAAAGGCTAAATATTTATGCGGTGAAACAAAAGTAATTTTGCCCCATGGAATTCTCTTTCAACTTCCATCATAAGTAATACAAATAAAAAGCAGTTTATGGGATTTTTTTCACATAAGAAATCTCTCTCAGTCCGATAGCTTTGTTTTCTTGTAAAATTACCGTATTTACTAGCGTATAAGATGCACTGGCCTATAAGACGTACTCCCTTTTTACTCATTACAATGAATTTACAGTATTTTAAATATAAAGTAATTCTTTCTGCAAATACTTAATTTATCTGGGAAAGAACATCTTTTCATCTTCTTCATCAAAACCCAGACACTCATCTCCAGAGCTAAGTGAAGAGTCACTTGAAACCTCTAGTAAATCAGCATCTGAGCCTTCATACAACAAATTGTCCTCTGTACAATTCAGTGCATGACTAATGCCACACTTCTTAAACGATTAAAACACTGTCTCAGTTTTCACAGCATCCCATGAAGATTTGACCCATTCATAAACGACGTATAAGACGCAGTATTGGCGTAAAAGACAAACCCCGTTCTTCAGACCTATTTTCAAAGAAAAAAGTGTGTCTTATATGCTGGCAAATACGGTAACTATTAATTAATTTATGTATTTGTGATCAATACCAATCCTGGTAATTCCTAAATCAGGACAAGGCACAAATAAAATGTAATCCTACAGGAGCAGCAAGCAAAAGAGAAAAAAAAGAAGAACGAAAAGTGAAGAGCTTTCCCATCTATTTTAGATACAAAATCCTCTTTCAGACTCTTCATATCAAAATTAAAATTACCACAGCAATATATCAAACCCATGAACCTGCCAATTTTTTATTTTGAGACAAACTTGTTGAAATATTTGAAATTTGGAAAAAATATTGTTATAATTTTTATGCTATGATTCTGACAGCCTGATCAATAAGGCATGAAAATTTGTGAGAATAAGATCTGTACACAGCAGATTTACATTAAATTCATTGGTTTGAAGGTCTTGAGAAATGTATCTTTTGAAAAGAACAGAAGTACCACTTAATCTAGATAAAAGAACAGGAGTACCAGAATTCTGTTTATAATTCCCTGGGCATCAAGGGCTGGAACTGGACAAAATTGTACAAGCACCATCAGCGCTCAACACAGGCAGTTAAAATATGATTTTGACTGTCCAAAGATAGGCTGAAATAATCAGCAACTGCACAAAATGTAAACCGCAGAATAATGCAGAACATTTGAAATACTAGAAAATGCATTTAGGTGAAAATCGCAAACAATGCACATTTATGGTTTTAGAATGGTATTGACAACAAGTGCATGAAATGCAAGTCCCCCTGCAGTTTGTTTAGTACAGTTACCAGAAGTTTTTTTTTTTTTTTGGGGGGGGGGTAGCCAACACCTTAAAACCATCTTTCACTGGTCACTGCGTTTTTGTATTTATTGAAATTCTATAAAAAAATATCGTGGGATTGTTGATTTTTGATATTGGCATTGGTGACAATGAACTTTAGTTAAAACTATTTTCTTATACAACTGACTTTTCTCTCAGAATTAAATACATAGCTACCTGACCATGAATTTTTAGGTATAATAAAATTATATGAAATGAAAATTATCATGCTTCAATTCAGTAAGCAGATCTATTATATGGACATGTGAATTACTCACAGAGTTTTATACAATTAATTTAGAGCTGTATTTATTGTAATTATATTTGAGACCTGACCTCAAATTTTAAAATTGTAAAACTCTAATTGATAAGCAAGATCTTATCAATTGATTAATCTCTAATTGATAAGAAGAGAAATTTTTAATCAGTTGTACAAACTGTGAAATAATAAAATGCTTTTATACTAACAGTTTCTAGTTAAACTTTCTAATGACTCTTCAATGATTTCCAACCACTGAAAGTGTCACAATAACCATTAGGTTTGATATTGATCACACAGACAATTTTAGTTCAGAATACATTAAAAGTCATGGAAATATCTAAGAAAGCAAATAACTGTACAATTGTTTAAATACTATTTCAAATTAGATTCTATGATTCATAAAGTCTTTTATTATTTTTTATAAATAAAAACATTAGTAATATTTTTGGTCTGCATAGTTAATTGATACTTTAGAGTTTGCAGAAATTTATCAATACATAAGGATTTAAGGAAACTCAAACTTTGAAAACAGAAATTTAAATTAAAATATTTTAAAAAATACTCAGATTTCATAAAAACAAAACAAGAAACACTGACTGAAACAGGTACATTACACTCACTTTTTGAACACTAGTTTCTTCACATCATGATACAATCACAGTTTGTTTGATTTTAAAATCAAGGACGTCAAGTTGAATGATATGGTAAAAATATGTAGAAATAAAAAGTAAAAAATGTACATTATATTACAGCTTAGTTTGGTGTAAGGAAAAGCTGTGGCAGATGAAATGATATAACAGCTTTGTAAATAAGCTAAAATCAATAAATACATGAATATATGAAATTCATTAATGAGAGTTTAAAAAATCAATGATCTGTACAATATATACATTTCTTTCATTGCTTGACTGGTTATAGATCCTTTGATTATTCTTTTTGATGGTTAAACAAATACATAAATATGCAATTTTGCACTTTAAAAAAACGAAAATCTTGATATCATTGAGAACCACTCTTGAGCTTCTTTATTGTATTTTTCAGAGCTTGTCGTTTGTTGCAAAACCATACTCGAACAACTTCACGATCATAATTCAAATGTTCTGCAAGTCCAGTCATTTCTAAGCCTGAAAATTAGCCATAAATACTGAGAACACAGATATTTATGACATACAAATAAAATATAAGAACACAAAACAAAATTTGATATATTTTCTTGTTAGATACAGACAATCTTACTGTAATGAACTATATACAGTCAAAAGTCGTTAATTCAGACACCCATAATCCGGACCTCAAAGCTACAAACTTTCTGCGCATGCGTCACGTTGACGCATGCGCGTAAGACCTTTACGGCTGCGAATATGTGTGTTCTGCGCATAATACGTTTACGCTTGTGCGTTTAATGTATAACGGACGGTATAAGCTAAGCTAAAATTATCTAATTCAGTTAATGTTGCATATTGCGTTGTTCCTTAATCTTCTAATTGGCTTTATAACTTTTTGCAGACTATTAGAGCAATTTTATAAAAAGTAAGCTTGAAATTTCGAATTACTTCAATCAGAATTTCCGATTCTGGAGCTGGCCAAAGGATCTACAAAGCGAAAGCACGTTTTGATGTCCATCAAACAAAAAGTGGAATTGCTGCAAAAAATGGATAAAGGCATAGCCTTTGTTTCTCTAACCATTCCGAAATCTGTTTATCAATTTCACGCTGCTCTGCCGAGGGGGGGAGAAGGAACGCTGCAGCGCGCAATGAACTGGAAGTTGATCTGTCAGCATTATCCTTGTCTTCAGGGCAGATGTTTTTATTTTATTCGGCTTATAATTCCTTACTAAATGTAGTATTTCACCTCGATGTACTCCGTCTTTGATATAATTTAAATCAAATTCCTCGTCATTATAAATATCACGAATACACATCAAATAGTTTTCTGGTTGCAATTTTCTTCGACTACGCGTAATGTATAATTTACGCATGCACACGTTGAAAGAAATGTTTAATAAAGTAAACAAATCAATATTTTTTTTTTTTTTTTTTTTTTTTTTTTTTTTTTTTGTGTAAATTTTGATACCCTTTAGATCATAATGCTTTTTTTCATAAATTATGGTTTCATATTTTTAATTTTATAATTTCTGCATGCCATCTTACCAAATTTAAACTGATGATCTATAATCCGGAATCGCCAAAGTCTCAACGAGTCCGTATGAAAGACTTTTGACTGTACTGTAAAACATAATACATTTGAATTTTTTATACTTTTTAAAGTTTCCAATGTAGAAACTATTAAAAGCTTTACAATTTTGAATTTAATGAAACTATTAGCCTTTTCAATTTGTTTTCCTGAAAATAATATTTATTTTGCTTAATATAAGTGTTACATTACAGTTTTTATACTTGTTTGTATTCTATTTGATTATTTAAAACTGCAATAGTTTGGAAACTATTAAAAAATATATATTGCATAAGTACTTTTGAAAAAAATTAGTAGTGATAATAAATTATGAAACAGTCTGACTAAGCCACAAGGAAGTATAATTGTCAAATTAACCTCATTAAGAGGTCCCAAAATTTCTCAATTCAGCTCTCCTGCCAGCGACCAGCATTCCTTTTGCTCATTACAGGTGAGCATACTTTTATCAAAATACATTTTTATACATCATATTTATTCTAAATATATTTTATATCAATACTTTTTAATCAAAGAATATTCTAATAATAATTCTATAATTCTGTCTTACCCAGTATTCTAATGCTAGCAGGTAAGCTGGATTTCTAACACAGTTTTACATTCTGTAAGCAACTTTGAAATTTTCACTGGATGAGCCAAAATTAACATGTATGTAAAAGATCTTTAATAGCCATTTCTCTGAACAATGATTTCATTCATGAAATAATAATGATTTAGTCAATCACAAACATATGGTAGGTGTTAGATTTATTAGTTTTTACTTTCAAAACTGATAAAAGCAGAGAACTTAAAACATATGGTATATCCACCATATTACTATTATAATAGATGCAAGAAATATCATCAGAATGACATTTCTGATTCAAACAGCACTATTAGATAAAAAAAAAAAGAAGATATTTTTATCTTAAAAGAAGATATAAAATTATATTAAAAATACCTGAAGGATGAGTATTTTTTTCAAAAAATTGGTTTAAAATGTCTAAAGCAGAAGGAGTAAAAGATGTTCGTCTTTTCCTCTTCTTCGTAGGTTCACTGCCAATGAATTCTGTGAGTGTGTGGGCTCCATTTTTATACCTTTCTTCTGCTTCCTTCATCCACCTTTCTAAAACTGGTTTAATTTTTTGAGCACTTCTGGGAGTAATATCAAGTTTTTCAAACCTACATACGAAAACAAAAAGACAATAGATCTAATTACAGAAGCTGATTAATAAAGCTACAAGTTGTAATTAAGTTGCAGTTAAGTAATTGTAATACAAAAATGGAAAAATCTAAAACTTTTTTTTAAAAGTTTTATTTTATTATACAAGTTATAGTAGAATTTATATAACATAAAGAGATCTAATCGAATAGTGATTTTTATTTATTATTGTCTGTATCAAATAATAATTACAGAAATGCCATTCATCAGTCAGCGTTAAAATATAACTTTTGTCAAATGGCTGCTATAACATACACACAATCTTCCAAGTAATAATAAATGCTGTCCATTATGATGTTGCATGCAACAGGCTCATACAGTTCCGTTTATAACTATGCCAGATGAACAGGAAGAAACTGAAATTTTAATGTAATAAATAACTGCTCATATATTAAGATAAATGAATACAAAACAGACTTAGTACAAAAATGAAGATAAGGAAAAGTCTCCTTAATTCACACTAAATACAGCAGATCATCCAAACTTCTGTACTCCAAAGCAGTAATCACAGAGCAGGAGCTCAGTATAATCACACAGCTCAAAGCTGAATTACCGAAGTGACTGACTTGCAGCTTCAGCAACAACCAGTATCTATAGGGTTGCCCAAGACTTGTGGAAGTTTCAAGAAAACTATCCTAAGGTTACAAAAATGTGTTTCCTGTAAATTTCCAGAATGTTGTCAATATACAACAGAAATTATTGCCAAAAATGGCTTTTGCCCATATCTCTAGTTCTAACTCAACTATCTTAACAATTTAAAATCAACTCAAAATATCTACAACATTATAGAGGAAATAAAATACTAAAAACATAATAAATGGCTGAAAATTTGATCAAACAAAAAGATACAGTAAAATTATTAAAATGCAATAAATAAATATATAAAACAATATTACAAAAGTTCATAGAATCTAAATTACACACAAATATTTCATAAATTTACAGCAATTATACATTGCCAGAGATTTTGGTGACAGCAGCTCTGATGCAGCCTTTCAATTCCAATACTATAGCAAAACATGCCATTCAAATATTTTTCTTGAGGTATACTCGTAATTAAAAAAAAAACAGTACACTTGATAACCATGAAATATCTCCAAAACAAGAAATTAACCTTTACAGGAATGTCTAACAAAAACATCATGCATGTTCTGGCTATGTGCATCATCACCCCTTCTTGTGGAACCATCAACGGTCCACAACCAAGTTCAACTTCTGTAAACACCCTCAGAAATTTCCTAGCAACATATTTTTCCAATAACTAATAAAAAATATTATATTTCTGTAAAAACGGGTGACCAATTTTAATTAGCACGTGGGCGAATGACAGTAAAGGATCAGTGCTGGCCATATTTATACATTGACTTTATGTCTATGTTTAATGGATTGCTCTATGTTTAATGGATTGCTGTTATTAATATTTCGCAGAGAATAATATATAAAAAGTGGTTATTTGTTTATGGTTCAATTTCATTAATGCAGAATATAAAGATTGAGTTTGTGCTATACCTATCAAATTTATAAATCAAAACATCCCCAGGTGTTACATATTCTAAAATATAAAATTTATACAATATTTATAACCAAATTCAAGTTCAGAAATCAGCATTATGATCTGAGCAAGGCATTTCATATATCACTTTTATTTAAAAATTTCAGTCTTCAAACAAGTCTCTTCGTAATTTCATAAAAGAAACACAGCTAAAATTACAAAGTTTAAAACAAGAGATTTTGTAACTTTTAATGCAAGAATTCTCACACTATCCTTCAAATAGGTTTTTAGAAGTCCATTCAGTGTGGCAGTTAGCAGTGTTGAATGTCATACAATTGGCTCTATGTTTGAATCTCAGAGAAGGCATGGATTTTGTAAATGCAGTGTTTTTGCAATGTGAGTGCACATAAAAAATGGCTTGGAGTATTTTCACTATCTAGCTTTTTTTTTTTTTTTTTTTTTTTTTTTTGTGGGAAGGGAGGTAAGGCAAACCAAAGGGAAAAGTTAATTACCTCTTTTTGTAATAATAAATGTTCATTAATAATAATTAATAATTTTTAATTATCAGGTTAATGTTTTATCTTACATGGTTAAAGAAACTTTAAACTAGGCAGGGACTATACATTACACCGAGAATCTGCAACTCTCACACATCTGTATTTGCTATAACATGGCCTACAAGAAAGTTACCAACAGGGTTCCCACTCAAACAGGAGAATGAAATTCCCTGACTTTTCCAGGTGTGTTTTAAGAAAATTCCAGTCTATCCGCGTAGTGCATTAATAGACTGGAATGAGAGGTAAATTAACGATGACTGTGATGAGAGGTAAATTAATGATGGTACCAACTGGAAACACAAAAATTTGCCAATTACATATGATTATACATATCCCCAAAGCATTTCTATTATAACTATAATAGGAGTTGTTTTTTCCACTGAAGATTGAGATTAGAATCTGCCCAATCTGGGTTAACCCCTTAACTGCTGCAGGTGTATATATACGCCTTGCTCAGCTGATGCGTTAACTGCCTCGGGCATATATATACACCCTTCCAAAATACTATCATTTGCTTTGCGCTGTTATCCGTAAAATTATTCGCAAAGCTTTGGAATGCAACACCACAATGACCTCAACAAAGTATGTGAAGGAGGATACTATTTCAGAGAAGTGTGGGGAGAAATTGGAGAGAGGAATGTGTCTAAAGTGGTGAAAGTAATGACTGCGTGGTATTGGCTGGTGTCGTTTGAGTAAAACATATTTTTTTTATTCTGTGTTCTCCGTTTTTGTTTACTTTTTGTAGTAGATTCCAGGAATAAAGAAAAGAATATAACGGATGTTTCAAACCCACATTTATCTTTTTTGAATTATTTTTTAATGAACTGCTCATGCTTTCATATTGTTACTGAAACTAACCATTTTGTAGACGAGTATATGAACCAACAGCTTGCAAACAAAAAATCAAGAACAAAATCGTGGCATTCAACCAGTTCAGAAGAAATATATGTTTTTTTAGGCATACAGATTTCACAAGATATAACACTGAAACCTGATATTACACTTTACTGGTCTAAAAATAAATTGATCGAAACTCCATTTTAGGGATCCTTTTATTATAAAACATTTTTTTTATTATACTTACATCTTTTTATTATACTTTTACTTTAAACATTAAATTTTGTGTATTCATTTTTTCTTTTATTCTTTATTTTGTAAAAGTAAACAGTTTTTAGAAAGTAAAACTTACACCTAATACAACGCATAACTATGCGTGCCTGTGTGAAAAAACGTGGCACTGGGAAATCAATCTTGTGCATTTCCTGCGGAAGTTAAGGGGTTAAAAAAATGTCCATTTTGCAGCTAAACGAAAGAAAGAAATCTATTTAATGATATTTTAAAATAAATTCAGATATTTTATATTTATTTAGTAGCAAAAATAAGCAAAAAATATAAGCATTAAATTTCGTGATAGTATGCCACCATACTGCCTAGAATTAGTTTCAGGATTATACTAGAAAAAATTGTCTGAAATTTGAATGTATTATTAACTAATATTAAATAAATTTAGAGGGAAGAAGCAACATTAAATGTTAAAGCACTGCTTCTATATGATATATTGTTGGCTCATGTGCTGAAATCATGAATCTCCATGCATTTTCTGGTTTCACTTACATCCATTTTTCGCACAATTTTTAATGTTTAACATGATGCTGAAAGAAACAGATCCACAGAACATGAATCAGTATATAAGGATTATTCTCCAGAAATCATAACTAGATTTTCCTCAAAATTTCTTAGTTTCCTTAAGATTTTCCTTAAGTGAACTTCTATTTTTCTCAAAGTAATGAGTTTGCAGATTCATTACTTAAAGGTGACATTAAATTAAATAAATAAATAAATAAATAAAAATTACAGCAGTAAGCAGTATCTATTTTTATTTTGCACACTTAGGAAAAAAAAGTAAAACAGAAAAGTTTCATACCTGCAAATCGCACTTTGACTGTATGATGGCCCTTCTGTAGCACTTAAAGCCTGTCCAACTTGAGTTTGTGTTAAACCAAGGGACAGACGACGTATTTTAAAGGCTTTAGCAAATTCTTTGATTTCTTCAAGGTTAATGCCATCCACAACATTAGCTTCCGTATTACTAATAGTATCTATAAATAGATATATGTATATATTAACAAAAAGAAAATTTTCAAATGCAAATACAATTTTTAAATAAACAGCATAAGTATAAATAGGGAAAAATAATTTCTGATTATCCACATCCCCACCAAAAAGCAACCCAAGTATGCATGCAGCACATATGAATTTGTACTTTCGAAATTCAATGCCATTTTTATGACAGTAAGGACAGAATAAAAGACTCTCCCCCCCCCACAAACGAATTATGAAACTATGAGAATCTCTAATCTATATGATTATATTTTCTTCTGATTTCTTTAATGAAGCTCTGAAATGACAATACTGAAGTATTTTAAGAAGGTGACTATTGGAACACTTACTGACTATTGGATTAAGACCATTATCACAATCATCATCAGGCGATACAGATGGCTGTGGATGAACCGTTTGTGTTAAAGTTGATACTGTTGTACCAGGTTGTCCCGCTAGCTTGGGTGCAACTACACAATTCTAAGGGAGATAAAAAATATTTATTTTTATCGCCAAGTGCTTATGTTAACGCAAAATCACAAAAAGCTCAAAAATATGGTTTTATGCTAACTTATTCTAAAGTATTATTTATACATTTACGATAAGTATGCCCGCTTCAGCAGTTAAGTTTTTGACAGATTGCAGGAAAAATAAGATCATTTCAAAAACTGGTGGAAAATTTCTTCATGGGGGGGGGGAAGGGAAAAGAAAAAAAAATTCTATTATAACGCTATATAAAGTACGAAGAAACTTAAATATACATTCAGATTTAAACTTGTTATTGTTAAGTTGAGCAGCTAAAACATGATACAGCACAAAGTTTGAGATCCGGACTCTTTGGGACTATGGCGATCTGGATTTGAGATTTTTCCGGATATTAGATCATCATTTTAAATTTACTAAGATAGCATGTAGAAAATATAAAATTAAAAATATGATATCGGGATTTACGAAATAATGAAACATTTTCGGTCTAAGGAGTATCAATATTTACCAAAAAAAAAAAAAAAAAAAAAAAAAAAAAAAACTTAAGCTTAAAAGCTTGTTAACTTTATTAAACATTTCTTTCAATGTAAGTTGTTTAAGTTGCTTCCTTTTTTGTGCTAATACTTTCTCTTTAATTCTACAGATAGATTTAATTTCTTGTTCAGCTACAGAGTTCCATTATTCAAGTCCTGTAATTGTTGTGTCGAAAATTCCAACTAACTTGTCAAACAAGATTTTTTTGTTTTCGATAACCTCTCTGTCACTTCCTTCATTATCAGTACTGTTATTTTGCAGATAGAGAACCATACTTACAGATTTTCCGCCCGTTAATTGATTGATGACTGGAGCATACTCATCGCAATAAAAAACTTCTGTCATATCATCTTCATTTATTACCGCTTCTCCACATTTTCTTCCAAAATCCATTAACTGGAAAATTTCACCTTTCCGAAAACCTTCAAATTTGCGGCTATTATCTTCATCAGCCTCACCATGAAATATGGTAGCTGGCCATAAATTATGACAAGCATTTCTTTAAGTATCTGGAAACACATCTTCCCATAATCTTATGATGCTCCACGCAGCAGATTTTATGCTAAAATATTTCAAAAATTCTTGAATAATCTTGCCATTACTAAGAAATTTAACATGAACATAAAAAATGCTACTTTATATTTGCATTTCAGCTCACACGCTATTCCGATAGCTATAGGCTGAATGATGGAAGTACAATTTGGAGGAATGTATAATATGGATACATTATCTTTTCAGTAAAAACTTTAAGTGAAGTACAGCTGTACAGAGCTGTTGTCTACAATTAGGAGATTTTTTGTATAATCAGGTAAACCAACTGAATACAAATGTTGCTGAGCATCTGGTACGAAATGATTTTCAAACCAGACATTCATTAATGCTTGTGTCATCCATGCTCTTTTATTTGCACGATATACATACAACGGAGAAAATATTTACCCAAACATGTTTGATAAGTAACAGGTCTGGAGACTTGGCAGGTCAGTCGAAAGCATTAACACATCAAAAACATTATTGGGAAAGTTGTGCTATATGTGGCTGAGCATTATCCTTCTGAAAAAACAGAACCCGGATAACCTGCTAGCATTGGCTGTATGACTGGCTGCAGTCAAAGTACCTAGCAGCATGACCTAATGGTGAATGGCTGTTACAAATGATTGCTCCCCAGACTGTCTCACCCTGTGTTCTGGTTGCATGCTGCTCAGTAACAAATAGTGTAATAGATAGTGCTCACTTATCTATCTCCAGATACATATGAAGCAGTCATCAGTGTTGAACAAAAAGTGTGATTCATCGCTGAAACCACATTTCTCAAATTGGACACTGTCCAGCTTCAGCGAGAGCAGCACCATGCAAAACAACAATGCTTATGGTGCAATGTCAATGGCGTCTTAATGGGCATCGACATCTGAACCCAGCATCTGCTAGTCTTCTGCAAATCATATCCCTGGATTCTGCGAGTTGACAAATGATGCTGAATTGGCAATGGTGTAATGTAACTGTTAGTGCGGGTGTAGCAGCTCTTCTAACTGCACGATCATCTCGTGAATTGGTGGCCTGGAGATATCCTGAGCCACTAGTTACACCAACGAATAATAACCAGATTGCTTCGGCTAATATGCCAGTCAATCTGCCTATTCGAACAAAGTTTCTCTTAGCCCTATGTGACCTCTCTCAAAGTCTGACAATATTCATAATACTGCCAAGTACATCTAAAAGGTGTCTTTCATTACAATATCATGTATCCAAGTTGTCATCAGGGTTGTTTTACCAGCTGCGCACTTCAGACGGGCATTGTATCATGCCACAGTGCTGCAAGTTTAATCATTTACTTGTTAATTTATTAATTATTAATTAATAATCATTAACCAAACCACATTTGTATGTTACATTTTGCTGCTGCTATTTGCAATTTCAGAAATGAAAAGAATAAGTGAAATGATATCATTCCAGCTTAAAAAATGAGCCAAATAAGGATGGCTTTCAAATTACATAATTTTTCAGCACAAGGCAGCTTTTAGCAAAACTGTACAAAACTTAAATTTATATAAAGATCCAACAAAAGAAAAAAAGAAATGTTTCCTATGGCTGAATTAGTTTTAACAAATAAAAATCATTTCCTAAATATCAATTGCAATGATCAGAAATACCATTAATTAAAAAAATTTTTAGGGATTATGCTGAAAGATTTCTATAGACAGTCACACAAGTTAGTTTTTGAATGCATAGCTGTATGAATGTAGATTTGAAAGCATATCTTTTAATTCAAACATGATTTAATGAAAGCATAATTTTAAGTGATGTCTACAATCAGGAGTTTTTTTTTGTGTAATCAGGTAAACCAACTGAATACAAATGTTGCTGAGCATCAGGTACGAAATGATTTTTCAAACCAGTCATTAATTCATGCTTGTGTCATCCATGCTCTTTTATTTGCACGATATACATATAACGGGGAAAATATTTACCCAAATTACAAATACAATACAATGAATTTCAAATTTCCATCTGAAAAAATTGCTTAAATTCAGAATTTTTTTCACTCAAATATTGTTTAATTGTTATACTTTTTCCTTTTTTTGACAAAAACCTATGTTGTTACTTTAATCTGCACCTTTATATTCTAGACAAATTTTGCAACTTTTTTTAAAGTTAAGAATTAAAATATAATCCATAAGGTATACAGTCCTGCTAATTCGACCTAATGTGGACCAACAAGATGTTACTAAAATGTTTGTCAAGTTACTAAAAATGCTGAGTTTCATGGAAGAACGGATGGGTTATTAACAACTCATAGTACTTAAAACCATAAAATTCAACATTTAAATGGTAATTTTATTAATACTTTCTTAAGTTAAGTAATTGATATAATCTTTAGTCAGACTCTTAAAGGCATCTAATTTCAGTTCTGTTGTTATGTTGATTTTTCTTTTCTTCTCCTACCAAATTTTCAGCTGCATGAGCAACACAATACTTGCAAGCCTGGAAATAAACTGAGAAATTCTTTTCAGGATGAACTGAAAGTTTAGCTTGTACTAGGGTACAAGCATAAACTTTCAGGCAAGACTGCTAAGGCCTAGCAACAGAAAAGAATGTGATTGACAATTGACAGTGGCTGACCTTCCTTCAGCTCTTTTTTTATTGAGAGGAGAAATGGGGCAGATTGATATTTACTTGAAAAGAACAAAACCTATCACCAAATTCACATTCTAAGCAGCAGGGTCACAAAGTGAAAGAGTTAAAAATTACACAATTAGAATAAAAAAAACATCCATAATTTTGAACAGAAAAGAAAAATATGCAGACAATCCTATGCATAAATATGCACTGTAATTACAGTAATTAAAATATGCTTATATTATACGTACCATATACGATATGTTAACTATTTTAGTCTAGCTGTTAATAAGTCATCAGTTATATCAAAAATAATATTGTACTTGACTAGCAGATTTTAGTAGTTAAAAAAAAGCATCGAATAATACAGAATAATGACGAATCTGGAGTCCAACTTGCAATCTCTAATTAATTTACCTTGATTCAAGTAATAAATTTACCTTGATTATATTATTTCATTATTTAACAAATTATGAAAAAAATCAGGTATCTTATCATTTTTATTTATAATGAGTTTTCACATCAATTCAGTAAAACCTAGTTTTATATTTATTCATTTAAAAATAATTTTTAATTACATTTTCAACTATTTTTTCACACATACATATACATAATATCTCAACAGGTATAGTAAATCCTTGCTAAACATGGAGGTTATGTCATTAACAAATAGCGCATACAGCAAAATTGCATTCTGCAAAGTTAACTTTCCATGGAAAAAATGGGTTGGTATAATTCAGATTAACAAAGTATGTATACTGATTCAGAAGTCAAACAACAAAAATCAGCGTTAATTCACAAAATTTTCACAGGACTAGTTTCGATGGTTTTACCGAACCATCATCTTCAGCTGCAAAACCGCAAATGAACAAGATAGGAAATAATGTTTAGATAAGATAAGATAAAAAAGCCTGGACAGGAGATAAGCATAGTGGCGCCATCTGTTGGCGAAACCAGAACTAAAACATAATTTCTCTAAGAATCTGAAGGCAAGATTTGGATTGGAATTAGGATCGTTAACTAGAACAGAGAAATATATTTTATTTGAATGTGAAATGCCTCTAGAAATCCAGTTCTCCAATGGAAGATGTTTTTTTTGAATAATTTTGGCAGCAGAAAAATTGAAAGTGTGATTTTCGGACCAACAATGTTGAGGCAACAGAAGACTTCTGTGTTTCCTTTTTTCCTAACATATGCCTCATGTTCTTTGAACGCGAAATTTTAAGGCTCTCTTTGTTTGGCCAATGTAAATTAAACCGCACTGGCAAGGAATCCTATAAATACCCCAGGAATTCATATCCGGAATGGGGTCCTTGAGTATAGAAGTTGGAATTTTATTGATG